CAGGGATCACTGACGGTTGTAATGAAAACGAAATTAGGAGGAAATCAACTTGTCACGGGGTTGTCAAGGCTAGAATGGTGATTTGCCTGTCAGGTGATCGAAGGAGGGAGGGAGTGGAGAGGGAAGGAGGGAAGGAGTGGGGGGGGAAGGAGGGAGGGAGTGGGGAGGAAGGAGGAGGGAGTGGAAGGAGGGAAGGAGGGAAGGAGGGAAGGAGGAGGAGAGGGAAGGAGGAAGGAGTGGGGGAGGGAAGGAGGAGGAGTGGGGAGGGGGAGGGAAGGAGGGAAGGATGGGGGAGGAGGAGGGGGAGTGGGGGAGGGAAGGAGGGTAGGAGTGGGGAGGGAGGAAGGAGGAGTGGGAAAGGGAAGAGTGGGGGAGGGAAGGAGGGAAGGAGTGGGGGAGGGAAGGAGGGAAGGAGTGGGAGGGGAAGGAGAAGGAGTGGGGAGGGAAGGAGGAAGGATTGGGGGAGGGAAGGAGGGAGAGTGGGGGAGGAAGGAGGGAAGGAGTGGGGGGGGAAGGAGGGAAGGATGGGGAGGGAAGAAGGAGGGAAGGAGGGGGGAGGGAAGGGGGAAGGGAGGAGGGAGTGGGGAGGGAGGAGGGAGAAGTGGGGAGGAAGAGGGATGGGAGAGTGGGGGAAGGGAAGGAGAGGGAAGGGTGGGAGAGGAGAGGAAGAGGGGTGGGAGTAAGGAGGGAGGAGGAGGAGTGGGGAGGAAGGAGTGGGGAGGAAGGAGTGAAGAGGAGGGGTAGAGGGAAGGAGTGGGGGAGGGAAGGAGAAGGAGGGGTGGAAGGAGGGAAGGAGGGGGGAGGGAAGGGGAGGGAGTAGGGTAGGAGGGAGGAGTAGGGGGGGTAGGAGGGAGGAGAGAGAGGGAGGGAAGAAAGAGGGGGGGAAAGGAGGGAGGAAGAGGGGAGGAAAGGAGGAGGGAGAGGGGGCGGGTAGGGAAGGAGAGAGGGAAAGGAAAGAAGGAGGAAGTAGGAAGGAGAGAGGAAGAGGTGACGGGATTAGGGAAGGAGGAGTGAGGCAAGAAAGGAAAGAAAGGAGAGAAGGAAGAAGAAAGAGAACTCCGCTCAGAAAATCAAAAAGAGAAAACAAGAAAAGACAGAAAAATAAATAAAATAAATAAGATAAAGACACAACAGAAATAAGTCCAAAAAAAAGGGAAAAAAAAAGGAAAGAAAAGAAAAGAAAAAAAAAAGAAAAAGAAAAAGAAAAGAAAAGAAAAGAAAAAAAAAAAGAAAAGAAAAAAGAAAAAGAAAAAGAAAAGAAAGAAAAAAAAACGTCGGCCAGCCAAAATATGAAATCAAAATTCCCGCGCACCGGAACAATCCTCGGACCGTTGTCATCTCTCTCCCGTTGCATTCCAACCGAATTCCAAATGCCGTTTTTTTCTCTCTTTTTTTCCTTTTCTTTTTCTTTTCTCCCGAACCCTCTCTTTCCTTGGAGTTCCGCGGTGCTTGTGCGTGCGTGGCCAGCGTTTTGGGAGGGATTTTTAGATTGTTTTTTGTGTGTTCGGAGTTTGTGTGCGAGTGTAAGTGTATATTCATATATATTATATAATATATATATAAATATATATATATATATATATATATAATATATATATATATATTATATATATAATATATATATATATATATATA